ATCATTTTTGAGAACAACCAAGTTGAAAGTCCATACGACTTTTTTTCTGAAAATCTCTAAGTGATAATCTTTTTGATATTCACTTCAAATTGTACCTTACACCGACTTGAGCGAGCTTTGGCGGCCATTTTGTAGAGCTTGCTTCATCTGTTGAATGGTTACCTAAGTTCTCTAGGAAAACAACAGCTTGAATTTCAAAAAAAGAGTCTATTTTTTACAACCTAATAGGGATTTAGTGTAGTCAGCCATCTAACCGGCTCCTAATATCCTTCTTTCTTTTCGGATTTTTTTCTTTTCAAATCCACATTGTTCACAATTCTATCTAGGGATCCATCAGCCTGCTGTTACGATTAATAAGCTATTGTGTATCAAAGTATCACTTTTGAGTGATCAAATTGACATGAAGTAGCAGATACCAAACACACCTTTGCAGAAATATTTTTTTAGCCGCTACCCGACCAAAGTCGTAAACTGTATTTTGCTCCACCATCTTCCTAAAAAAATTTTGAGCAATCATGGACCTTTGAAACATTGATTGTGCATTTAACTTTGTCGGAGAGATTGGCGCCCGTGGAAAATCAAATATCTGTAAAAATTCCTAAAGAGCTATTGGGAGATGTGTCCGGCAGTAATAATCCGTAGATCAAGGAGCCTGTTAATTTTTTGAAATGCTTGCTCACACTTACACAGAGGATTCTAGTTGTCTAAGTAGCTTTCCACCTTCCTGCTTTTAAAAACCGCTTTTTTCACCCCTTATCATGTTGTCATAACCGCAAATTCAGAGTTTTTGTCTCTTGAACGTCTGTTTTTCTGTATATCACAACTTTATTATTTTTATATCACTGAAAAATAGAGGAGAACAATTAGGAACAGTGCTCATTCCCATCAGAAACATCTCTTTTCTTTCATAATCTCTTTTCATTTTTTTACTCCTAGAAAAACCAGGTTTTTGTCTCTTATTCTATCTTCTCCCTCATTTGATAAAACCTTGTGCTACTTTGCTCCAGCACAATTATACCAAATTGACAAAAGTACTATATCATCTTTCGTCAAGTTGAAGTTGCTTGATTCCTTTGGTAAGTTTAGCATAACAGATTTGGCTGATGTAAGGATACCAGTCGATCATTTTGCGCAGCATTACCAATTTTTTTCTCCGATGAAGCTGCTTACGTTGTTTTGACTCGGCTGACAAATAAATGGATAAAAGTTTTGCATGTTCTGATTTATTGTAATACTATAGCATCGGTTTAAATATCAGTAAAAATGAGCTATGTTAAAGCAGAGGTGCAACCAAATAAGAGAAATATTGATTAAAAAAAAGATGACATTGTATCAAAAAATGCATTGAGATGACGTCATTCTTATCATCAAATAATGCATACTTTTTCACATTTTTTGAGCCTCTCAAAATAGTCGTTTTGTATTTAGGTATTTGATATACAGCGCTGTGAACGCAGCACTCAGCGTTCTGCAAACCACTTTCGAAGCTTTGGAAAGGTGTTTTGTTAAGCTCAGAATTAGTTGATTGTTGGAAACCTTATAAACTACTGACTATGATCACGAGAAAAGCTGGATGCAGAAAGTCATTCAGATCAAACTTCAAGTTGTGGTCTCCTTTTTTGGTAAGCGAACACAGTGAAATCGAGAACGTTGCAGCTGAAAAAGACAAGCGTGTTGACATGAGTAGTGGCAGCCAGAAGTGCCCTAAAAATCAGATGATTATTGCCTTTCAATTCTATCATAGTCTTCTAGCAAGCCTTTTTGTATGTTCTTATCATCTAAGTGCGCCATATGTTTTTTCAGTGCTGAGTTTTTGATAAATTGGAATAGAAATCTCGCTAACCCCACTGATACGAGGAGACCATAGCCGCAAACATTCTGCTTAACTTATTTTACGATACAAAACGTATGTGCTTCAATATCGTCCTTCAGTACCTTCCAATCTGACTAAATAGGCAGCTGAGGCACAAGCACACTGTTATAGCCAATTGCATGAATAAAGATGTCCAAGGTTTTAGTCTTTCTTTTAAACAACGAACTCACAAGCAGAGATCAATCGCGCATCATCGTGGTATTCTACAGGGTGTCCCAAAAAGATGTGCACACTGTTTGATTGTTAACAACTCTCTTGCTTTCATGTCTTTTTCCGAGCTTGGGTACCGTTTTTTAGAGCGAGGTTCAACTTAGATTTACAGTGTGGAGCGAATCATCTATCGCTCTTCATTATTGCAGCATCACGGTAGAAATTTTGAGGAGGATTTTAAGCCATTGAAAACGGTTTTTGCCTCAGAAAGAAAGCCAAACAAGCCAGAAACTATTGAACTGGATTAAAAGAAGCTGATGATTCTAAATATGAAAATTGCACTTCAGTACACTGTTTCTTTCATGAGTTATTTTAGATTTAGGGTAACAACTGATTTTCCAGTGTTCGTTAGAAATGTGAATGCGCCATCAAAAAAGCTCGAAAAACTGATGGAAAGTTATGCAGTGGAATCAGCACGCCTGAAAACCTTGCTACGTAAATTTTTAGATTTTTTCGAAATTGTTTCATCAAAGGCTTATTCCACAGTGACGCTGTATGCTGAAAATTCATACCGTAATCCTACAGTAATGAATAGTGATCGGTGACTCGCTCTATACTGCAAATCTAAGTTTATCCTCGCCCTACAGAATGGTACCTCAAGCATGGCAAAAGACTTAAAAACAAGAGAGTTATTAACGATCAAACAGTGTGCACATCTTTTTGGGACACTCTGTATAATATTTGCAGACTTCATTATGCTATAAAATGAACTTATACTTTTCAAAAAAGTGTATGACAAAATCTTGTCGTAGCTTCGACCGCTCAACTTGCCAGGTTGTAAAATGCACGATGTCTTCATGAAAATTTCCTCGAAAATTTTAGGTACTAACACTTTTAGTCAACTTCTTATCTCAAAATTACAAGTTAATTGAGGATTCCACCTACTGTGTTGGGTAATCGAAACCCAGCATATGCAAAGCCTTTCTAACTGGTTAATAACCTCAAAAAATCAAAATATTGGTGTTTTCCTTTTTACATCTTGCTCCAATAGCCCTTGTGCAATCTTGGGCGTGTTTGAATACAGTCGCTGTGGCGCCTCTGATTGGTCAGATCCATGGATACAAAGGGGGGCGGATCCGCCGATCCTAAAAGGTCCGCCCCAGAGATCCTCCCTAGCAACGATTCATATATAAGACCTACGAGGAGGTGGAGTCTTCATTCAAACAACGTTCTCGAAGCTAGCTGGCTTGGGCAACTACCTTAGTAACCCAAGCTAGATAGCTACCACTGTTGCTTTCTTCTTAAACCATTTAGAAGTTTTCTCAAACACTCCTAACGAAAAATGATTTTTTACTACAGCCAGAGTAACTCTTCAAAAATAGTGTGTATTCTAAAATATCTAATTTCTGTGCACTTTAGTGAAATATTCGTGCTTCCGAAAATGTCGACGAAGAACACTGTGATCTTCATTGCAACGCTGATGATGCAGGTATTTTGTCACAAACGTTTCATAGTCGTCTAATCCAATGAGGGGTTGCTGAGCAAAGTTAAAATGCACCATATAGTGCGGATAGTGTAAAGATAGCAAAGTTTCAGTCCTTTAAGAATCCGACATCATATAGACAACTGGATGAATCAAAGTTCTGTCATTATGTGCGATCGATCAAAAGAGAGAAACTCTTGTTAACGACAGCAGCACATAAGAGACTTGTACCACAAAGTTGCATTGGTAAACCTTTGAAAAAACCCTTTTGTTTTCTCTAAAACTCTGCACTTTTTATAGAAAAAAGCTGGCTTACCCGGCTCCGCCGTATGTTCCGAATAGAAAATTCCATTTCTTAACCCCACGGGGGTAATCAGCATGCTCGATTACCCCCCCCCCCCGTGCCAACTCCCAGCCCCGTAGCTCAAATTTTGCAAAAAATCGATAAAATCGATATCGATCGATGACGAAAAGTAGCCTATGACACCCGCCGGGGCCCGAAGTGTATGTGTGCCAAGCTTGGTCCGGATCGGTTCAGAAATGGAATTTTCTATTCGGAACATACGTACACACATACAGACATACAGACATACAGACATACAGAAATACAGACATACAGACATTCAGCTTTATAATAAGATTTTATGAGTAGAAGATTTTCCTCTCAAATGCTATTCATACTTCAACCAACTTGCATTTGACGCACTGCTTGCTCTTTTCTTAGCTATGCATAAATAGATTTGATTATTGATAGAATGTGCAAGTAGGCTGATCTTCATGTTAGCAGTGCCCGATTGATCTGATACAAAAAGCAGTTTAGTTTTGAAGAATTTTATACAGCAATGCCTAGAGATTCAGCTTTCTTTTCCTGTTCTTCGCTAGTCTGTCAATGTTTGTTTGGTTTCTGCTATGCCATCAACAAATCACCACAAAACAGTGAAAGATATCGTCTATCCGATCATTGAGAAGTCAAACAACCTAGAGTACGTGCTTGAGATAGCAAAAACAAAGAAAATCGACCTTTAACTGTAATTAATGTTACCAGTAGCATAAGCAACAACGGGCCAGGTTTGATTGCTTCCCAGTTATGGGGAGCGACCCAAGGATGGCCTTGTCCAGCAACAGGCCCTTCTTTACTGCATTGAAAAACAGAACAAAACAGTGTGAAAGAGAATTTTGGTCTTATCTTGGTCTACAGCCACATTTGTGCATGTACTTAAATGGAAGTTCTCAGAATTGAAGAGACAGAATTGAAGTACTCACTTTACAGATTTACGCAGCGAATTCGAATACGTTCACACCTTACCAAGGTAATTTCACTGCAAGTTTCATTTACGAGCTGCCGAAAGAAAGCGAGGAAGTATGCCTCCGCACATGTTTCGAGGAATCTGAATGTACTTTCGTTCAATACAACGAGGCAAGACCTTTCGTAGTTCTTCATACGCTCTTCAGTCACTCCTTCTTCTCTGAATACCTTTTCCTATGTTCCAGAATATGTGCACAATTTTCAAAAGTGGTGAAGTCAACCAGGTTGGGCGTGGCAATGTATTTGCGCTTGATCGGCAACTAGTGCTACCAACATGCGAACGTCCTTTACCGCTTGCTCCAAATTTGGAATTTCAACAACTTCCAAAGCCGACCGAGGCAGAGAGCGAGGCTAAGAAGGCGCAGTTGCTTGCCATGAACACAACTGCGCCCTTGACCATTATAGACGAAATTGCTTTGAGCGGCACCGTGTTCTATTTGAAAGATATCTCAAAAATGCCTGATGCTGCACATCTCAATTACAGGTAAACTTCTTTTTTGCCCATCAAAAGCTTTCGTCGATGCCGATGTTGGTAGAATATGAATCTGCAATTTGCAAATTCTGAAGGATGATCAACATTTCATGCCTCGTTTTTATCCAACTTGTAAAGAGGACTATCACTGTCTAATTCAGAAAGTTAGCTGCGTTCTTACACAACGAAGGACAATTTACCAAATTTTCATTTAAATGACAATGCACTTGAACTCATTTAGACTTGTGTTTGCGAAAGCACCAATTCCAGAATGCGTCTCAGTTCCAGTCTTTCAAAGAGCAAGTAAGTGTTAGAAACTGCTCGAATACTTGTACAAAACCAAATTAAAACACAAGCTTTTCGCTAAACCGTACCTTCGTTTTCAATCGTTGATCGATTGCAAAGCGAGAAAGAAGGCATAGAAAGACAGATTGAAATATATTTTAACCTCGGCGATGCGGATGAGTTTGCTGCATCAATAAAAGCTTATTAAAATACGATACTAAATTAGTGAACTCCACATGTTTACGTTTGCTGACGATAGCAGAAAAACAGGCTTTAGTTATGAATATATGTACCGTTTTAGGTCAACGCAGGCTCTACTTTGGTGACATTTACAATGTGACCGGATACACATTCTTGGATGCATACGCGTTCACCGACCGCTGTGCTTGTGCAGGAATTTGCTGTGGACAAGTGCCCATATACGAGAAATTAGCTTTGGAAAACTATTTATATAGTGTTTCCAAACCAATTAGCCAGACAACCGAAATGAACCAAACTCTGTACATTGCCGGCACTCTGTTTGCCAGCAACAGAACAGACCAGGGCATGAGCAAAACTGGTTGTTAGACTGATGCTTCCTTAGAAATAAGGACTTTTACCAGGGAGAAAAACCAAATAGCAGTAGCAAATTTTGAAGAGATTCATATTGGCAGTCATTTCAAGGCGATATTGAATCTGCCTTTTACACTGAGCAATGTTCTGCAAGAAGTCATCAGCGCTGACAAGACATAACTTTGCGAGTATTGAGTCTTAATCGTACAAGAAAAAGTTGATCAAAAACACCTAACTTTGATTGGTCCTTTCCCATAAAAAAAACTTTCTTCTTACGACTTTACTTAGCTTTCAAGTTGATCTTTGAAGCAGATTGCACCAGAAAAGTGTAGTTTCTCACTTTCGAAGGCTTACAATGTTGTAAAAAGGTTTCCAAAAAAGTACGTAGATAAATCTTCGCTCTGCTGTAATTTAGTGCATCTCTTCACAGTTTGCCAATACTTGGTATTTTTCCCTGACAAATGTGTAGGAAAGCTTGAGTATTCGCAGGAATGCTCATCGCTCGGAGGGTTACGCTGCTTATAGCTAGGACCTGTAGTGCTTCTCACAAATGCAATTATACACTTGCATAGTACTTTTGCCATGATAGATTTTTCGGTATATATGTGTTTTTGCTTTGCAATAAAGTGTTTGTTCGGAAAAAAGAGAAAGTTGAGTTGTCTCCGGGCACTTACTTGGGAATGAATTTGTGAATCTTCAATAGTATAGTGTTGCACTTACTTTTACAAAACGTTCATAAATTAGCGACCTACGTTTCAGATTGTTTAATAAGGACGCACCAAGCAATGACGGTAAACCAGGACTCAGATATTTTAAAAAGTGAAAGATGACTGATATTCAATTCTACTACTTCAAACTTTTTGAATATTTGGGTCGTGACACAAAAAGCAAAAAGGAGAATGCTATGTTGGTAGTGGTTTCGACAAGCTGTCTCATAAAAAAAATTTTTTTGGAATATGTTGAATACATGAAATATATTTAACGTTGCTATCCAATCCTTAAATTCAATCCATGTCAAGATGGTGAACTGCATGAAGGTACAAAAAGTGAGCAGGTGGTTTAAGGTGCCGCCATGACCATATTCCAACCACGGTTAGCCCGCTCCGATTAGAAGACCTCTACCTTTCGAGAATGGTACACTGATATCAGCGTGACCTGGCAGAATGAAAGCACTGATTTGGTGATCAGCCTAATCAGCCATACAATCACCTTTTCAATTAAAAAGTAGCTTGCGTTTGGCGCATACTTTTAGGTATTGAAGACGCTGGATCCATTACTTTCATATACAAACAGCTTTAAGAGCAATCATGACTTATAATAAAGCGCGTCTCTCTGTTTCTCTGTTTGTGTGTGTTTATGTCTGTTTGTCATGAAATTCATAAAGCGTGTTGTAGGCAAGGGCTTGAGCTGAAATTGCTAATGGCAACCTATCAGCATGTGGGTGAACAATGCAAAAGCACAAGCTGATCCGATAATTGGAAACTACAAAAATCTGCGACTCGACATCATGCGAGTAAGAGAGAGGCATATAGATAGAGGAGCCAGTGCGAGCTTCTGCGAAGCAGAGGTGAAGCACTGGTGAATAATAATAAACTTAAAGAAACCTATCATGTTAACGCAAAGCATTTTTATTCATGTTCGTCGCTCCATAAATTCTTTATTTTACCTGACACAGCCCAAAAATTCGAAATCACGGATTTACTGAATATTCACCAAGGAATTTCTTCCATTTATGATCACGAGAACATTATTTCTTACTCAAGTTAGGGCTTTTTGATTACTTACGGCATCTTAGATCTTAGCTCTTCTAAGCTGTAGGGGGCTATTCAACATGATGGTTACGAATATTTTATCTATTCCTTACGATAGCGTCTTATGGTGAGGTTATAGGCACCGTCCACCCAAATGGAGGTTGGCGAGATTATGATGGCATACTAGTGTGGGTCCCCACACTAGGCAAACCCCCAAGCTTCGCCGCAAAAGACTGCTTCTGGAGCGAGAAATCCACTCCGGAAGTAGCAAAGTAGGCGGGGCGACCAGGGTCGCCCCGCCCACTTTCATGCTTTATCTCGCCTGCGCTTGTTGCAGAGGGTTCTCGAAACAGGGATTTTTGGGGTTTCGCAGATTTCCGACTCCATATCCGGAATCAGGGCCTTCAGAAGGCCTGAAGGCAACAAAAACACTGAATTTGAGATTTTGGGTGGACGGTGCCTTTAAGATAGGTTTATGATTTGATATTATTAGTCGCAATGAACTTGTTGGCAAAGTAATGTAAGCTATTGTAATGAGGCCAAATTTATATCTTTGAAAAGTTTTTATTCATGTGGACAAAGACCATATTTGTCAGTATGTAAGATCACTGTTGCTCGGTAAGTGACTGACAGTCTGAGTTTTCATTTATGATCAGCCCCAAAATGAATAGAATTTTTTCTTCGAAACCCTCTCTGTTGAACTCATTTCGTAGTCATGTATCGCAAAACAAGAAACATCAAAACTCTGCTCATTAAACTGGCTGCACCAAACAACAAATTGTCCGGAAAAGTTCCGTTGCGCAATATAGAAATACAGCTCAAGTGGTTTCATTAAGACCTATGATGCAAGGATTGATGATAGCTGCTTACTAGTACCTCAAGAACGCCTAGAGTGAGAGAAATTAAGCACTGTATTTTCTTAAGGTAAAGATTTCTTAATAATGTTAGACACAGCTTTTATCTCTGCCAGAATCTGCTTCAATTGACCGGGAGCACCGTGTTGCCGCGCAGTTCGGTCGTGAGCACGGTCGCCGCGCTTTACGGCTACCTTGTTCGCTTCCGGACCACCGCGTAGGCACGCCCCCAGCCACCGCTATAAATATACGCGCGAGGATAGAGTTGCAGGATGATGAACATCACGAAGCGCCTTGGTCGCGCAGGATTTGTTGAGAGCTTGGTTCGATGCTGCTGGTTTACATCATGAGGTCGGTGTTGTCGTGCCGTAGCTGCTGCCTTGGCGGCGCGCAGCCGGCCTGTGGGTAGCTCCCTTGGATGCCGGAAGAGTGTGTGTGCTAGTGTGTGAGTGTGAGTAAGATAAAGTCCCCATCGGTAGCTCAGGGTAGAGCTTAACTCTCCCGGGTAAGTATGTGTTGTGTATTCTTCGTGTATATTTATTTAGTAAATTTATGTATGTTTATTGTTTTGTGTGAAATTTATGTATGTTTATTGTTTTGTGTGCAGCGTAGGCGTAAAGCGCCATTGTGAGCTGGCGCCACCCAAGTGGCAGAAGTTCTTTGGGGACAGGAGCTGAGGCGCAAGGCAGTCGAGCGCTAGGTGAGAGGGCGCAGAGCCCACCGAGCCGCAACCAGAACTATTTCGCTAAATCTACAGATTATGTTTTCTAACACAGATTGATAACGAAAGTACATGCGTTGCTTGTAACGTAAACCACATTTGGAAACTTCATTTCTACTAACAAGGAAACCGTGTCGAGTCGAAGTGGCCTTTCCAGATGAGACCCATACTGCTTTGAAGAGTATTAAACGGTGACAAATCTGCCTTCCAAATCTGCCAAGCGCCTGGACGCCGAGTTATGACCGTTCTTCGGAACGAAAAATGAATGCAAAATTTAGGTAAAATTGATTGTTACAATCTTTCCAGCGCTCAGATAAAGCAATGTTAAGTATTAGCATAATAAGTAAAATGTATCCATTGCATAAACAGCTCTTACACTTGACATTGGATCATTTGAGCAAATTTGGGCGATTTTGCTTCACTTTTGCGTTCAATTTTTTGACCTGAAAAACGAGCATGACTCGGCGTCCAGAGGTGCTTGACAGATTTGGAAAGCAGATTTGGAATCACAGATTAATGCTCTTCAAAGCAGTATGGGTCCCATCTGGAAAGGCCACTTCGATTCGACACGGTTCCTTTGTAAGATTAACCACGGCAGACCTTATTTAGCGCCTAGATAACTTACAAGGGAAGGATCCCAAATCCAGTAGCGAGTTAAAGTGAATTGTATATCATTACAAGCGTCTTGATAAGCTGGTTCCAAATCCATCCACTTTCCTTCTCTACTGCGCGATTCTCTGTAAAAAGCTATGAGCGGTTGAAAGTTTAAAGTCATTGGGGTTTGACACGAAGTGTGCAATGAAATCAGCTGAGAGCGTATAAGGACTTAAGTGAGATGACTGCAAGAAATGCGCACATCAATCAAAAACAAAAAAATTGCATTTGAACAGCTAGTTCTTGAAAGATTGTCACTAAACGTTTGCAATAGTTAGACCTTCAAACGCTGATGCTTCTTCCAGAAAATCCCGCAGCAGACGATAAAGCTATGGTTTAATCCCAGTTAGAATAGGTTCATTCTCTTGCTTGAGAACTACTTAGACAAAAAGAAACTTTTAAAAGTTTTTGCTGTGGTGCGAAAATTCAATTTTATGATTATTTTTATCAAAAACATGTGGTCGTATACATCTCAAAATTATTTACGTAACAGCACTGGAGAAAGGAAAAATTGCTGACATTCTGCGAAGAAGGAAGCAAGTTAACCATACTCTCTGATGCTAGCTTTTACACATCATCTGTTTGTGGGTGTCCGAACCCGGCCACAAGTTTTGACAAGCTATGACTGCAAGTCATAATAATTTTCTTCAAAAATTCTTAATATTGCTGTGCTGACATGTCTTGAGTACATGGAAAAACCCTTTGGAAACTAATAAATTTACCGTATAAACCGCGTTATAGAATCGTATAACGTAAATATGAATGCGTTTCCAGTGGTGTTTCCGACAATGTCACATAGATTCCTCAAAAATCTCGTGACAAGAATCCAATAATGGTATGACATCAGCATTCAACCAGCGGACAAGAAATGATTTTAATTAATCGTTACATACTGCTTTGGAAGCAAAAGAAAAGCATATATGGTGGCGGACGTACGAGCAGTGCTGTAGGTGTAGCCGAAGTTGTGAAGCAAAATTGCGATCTTGGGAAAAAACACATATATTATACGGATGTATGAGGCTGGTGCCAAAATAA